TGCATGTGCCAGATGGTGCTTAGGAGACTGTGTTCTTCAGTTTGATGAACAAGAAAGACCAAAAATTCTGCTCTCAGAGCTTATATTCTAGGAAGGATGCTGCTGGCTCTTTATTTCAGATTAGGTCTTTCCTATTTCAGTTCTGGGAATTGAACTCAAGATCCTATTCATGCTATGCAAGTACTTTTAAGTAAGTACTGGAAAGGTTGGAGGGACAGTTCCAACCACTGGAACGCTCTTTCACAATGTATGGCTGTAGCTTTTTTTCATCACCCACATAATCTGGCCAGATTGTGACTAGTCCATCAGTGTGTTCCAAAGCCCAATTGTCCATTTCTACCTATGAATGCATCATTAGCAGAACTGGCATTTGTAGTCCCTTCTGTGTGATATGTCAGTGTGACCCACATACACAGAGCACAAGGATCCCTTCAAATTTGGCTGTAACTGTGCAGATGTAGCAGCTATAGCCAAATTTCCCTTCTGTGCCCACATCTGCCCAGTGCTGCCAGTTCTAGAACTCACTTTCTTTGCTTTAAGGGTTGCTGGCTATGTACACATATCTTACCAGTTCTTCAGACTTGTTTCTACCCCCTTGATTTTTGTAAATAGTACATATTGCACAGTTAGACAAAATTTCAGCATTATCAGAGTAGACCTTTCAAGTTGTTCCCTACTTTGGGGAAGAAGGAAAATAACTGAATCTCTGCTTTGGCTCCTAAAACTTAAGACACCAACTCAGAGGGCCAAGCATGCTGGTGGTGGGCACCTTTAATCCCAGCAGAGGAGAGAGGCAGAGGCAAGTGGATTTCTGTGAGTTGAAGGGCAGCCTGGTCTATAAAGTGAGTCCAGGACAGCCAGGGTTTGTTTTATAAAGAAACCCCTGTCTTGAAAAAAAAAATGACTTGGCCTGAGCTTGGGGTCAGATGCTATGTACTTGGGTACTACTTCAAACTTCCTATGTATTTCAAGGCTCTAAATATGAACATCTTGTTTTACTGACTGTGGATGTGGATGGGGGTGTTGAGGGTAATTGTATCACCTGGTAACCCCTCTACCTCTACCCCTAGCAAGGTTTAACATACAAGCCTCCTTCAGCTCAGCCTCCATGGTATTAGGATTATAGATATTCACCACCATACCTACCTACAATCAAGAGTCTTCGTTGCAAGTGATAATGACCCAATTAAAGCTGACTTTGGAAAAACAGGCTTGTACGGTTTGTGTAACTGGAGATGGCTGGTTTCCTGCATATCTCAGTCATAAATTTTGGTTCTCCATGATGTCCCTCTCATCCCTTTCTACTTGACAGTCTTACATTTTGTTGTAACTAGGGGATAAGGGAAGCAGAGTGAGTTCACAAGGGTAAACAGAATGTTCTTATTCAAGGAAAGGACAATGGATATAAAGGAGCTAGACTCTGCAAACATCTTCTACAGGAACTCTATTGACTGTCATTGACAAAGACAGAGATGACAACATGCTACTTGATATAACACAGGCAGTGATTAATTCATGTTTGCAAAAGTGTTGGGAGAGAAAAGGACCCAAATGTAAATCAAGAAAAGTGAGCAAATGAGGAGATGCAGTGACGCAGCCCCCAAATCCCTAAACCTCCATCCATGTCATGCGGGGTGTCTTGGTGTACATCCCTGGGGATATCCCTATCAACTTGCTGGTATCATAGGACCATTGCAATAACCTACCCTCCTTCCTAATAACTGCTGCTTGTCAGGTCTGGAAGGCACCCTGTTCATCTCCATTAGTGGTAGACATCTGTGTGTGTTTGAGTTATCGCACTTTCTAGTGCTGACAAATACCCAGAACAAGAGTGTCATTAGAAGCTCTCATGGCACAATCCTTCGTACTAACTGCTGCCCATAATGCTCACAGCTTCTTCGCTGATATTGCCAAATAAAAGCTGCCTCTTAATGATTCACTTTTATTATCATTATCACTATCACAAGGAACATATAGTTCATTTATGCCACACTTGCTGTAGACTCTAGATCAGCTATTCTCGACCTATGGGTCGAGACCCCTTTGGGCCTGCCTATCAGAGATGTACATTACAATTCATAACAGTAGCAAAATTACAGTTATGAAGTAGCAATGAAATAATGTTATGTTTGGTGGTCACCACAGCATGAGGAACTGTATTAAAGGGTCACAGCATGGAGATGGTTGAGAACCACTGATCTAGATGATGTTCCTCAGACTGGCCTGACTCTATAACCGCCTGACTGGGCTAAGCTAACAGCAATAGCACAGATGCTCAAGAAAGCATCTTCTGTTTACTCGGTCAACAAATGCCGACTGTTTACAAGTGCATGCAAACATGCTATGCGTATGTGCTGAGCTAAGAGGAGGGTAACCTTGAAGAATGATGCTCCATTGAGAATCTCGTTATGGTACAGACAAGTAACTGGACAGTGGCAGCAGTGTGAGAATCCCAAGACAAACAGTAAGAGTGTCAGGAGCCTAAGGATATGACCAGCCCGATCCTGGCTAGGGGGTTGGGGAAGGAGAAGCAGGTTGCTAGACATGCATGGAAGACACACCCTAGGTCAGGCTTGAGAGTGGGTCTAAGTTGTCCACAAGTCTAATGGAAGCAACAGAAACAATGTGGCTTAGAATCAAGAAGCAAAATGGAGACTGGGCTTCTAAGAACTACAAGAAACTTGGTCCAGGTTGTGCCCATAGGGAGAAGTAAGAAGAGGCAGCCCTGGAGAGCCACCTGTGGAGTCTGGACATCACCTGTCAATGTATTTCCTTCCACAACCATCTTACAAGGCTGTCTTCGGTGGTCAGTACTACCCAATTATATCAAGAGCAAGATACAACCGTTCCCACATCCAGTGATCTGCCATATAGAGACAAAGGGAGTGCTTTGGTCAGCTTATCCTGGCCATAAAATTAGGGCCCACTTGCTGGCCCACTGCTAATAAAACCCTTGCTGGCTACAAAGGTGTGTTTTACATTAAAAACAAATCATGTGGCTTTTGCAACCTGATTTAAAGCTCAGTTACTCAACTATTAGAGCAACTGACAAGGAAGGTTAAGACGAAATGCCACACCTACCATGCCATGGGGCTTCTGGTTCAATTGTCTGGGTGAGAACTAGATATTAGTAGTATTTCAAGCTTCAGGGCTGAGAACCTCTGCAGTGCCAGACAGAAGGAGTTCTAGAGAAAAGCAAGTACCCTTGCTGTCCTGTTCAAACCTTAGAGATCCAGGGCCCCCATGCAAACCCTCAGCAGTACCCTATGGGAAATGCTGAGTCCTCCTGAGGCACTCTTACTAAGAGTGCTAAAAGACAGACATAAAGTTACCCTGTTTAAAGGCCAATGTAAAGCAGCTGGAAAGGAAGGGCTATCTCACCTACCCCTAGTACATACCTGCAAGCAACATCTACCTCTGCAATGGTTTGAATGACACTGGTCCTCATATCTTCACATATTTAAAGGTTTGGCTCGACGGGCAGTGGTGGCGCATGCCTTTAATCCTAGCACTTGTGAGGCAGAGGCAGACAGATTTCTGAGTTTGAGAGTTCGAGGCTAGCCTGGTCTACAGAGTGAGTTCCAGAACAGCCAGGGCTACACAGAGAAACCCTGTCTCAAAAAAAAAAAAAAACAAAAAAAAAAACAAAAAAAAAAAACAAAAAAAGGTTTGGCTCCCAGTTGGTGGAACTGTTTAGAAAGGATTAGGAACTGTGGCCTTCTGGGGGAAGTGTGTCACTGGGGGGTGAGGGGGGCTTTGAGGTTTCAAAAGTGTACACCAGGCCCAGTCTCACTCCTCTCCCTGCCTGCTGCCTGTGAATCAGGTATAAGCTCTCAGCTGCTGCTCCAGCACCATGCCTGCCTGCCTGCCTATTGCTATGCTCCCTATCAAGATGGTCATGAACTAACCCTCTGAAACTGTAAGCAAGCCCCTGATTAAATATTTTTTTATGTTGTCTTGATTACTGTTTCTCTTCATAGCAATAGAACGGTAACTATGCAGGGTTCTTAAAGCATTATCCAGGACTCCTCCCACCCCCTGTCGTTACCTGGAAACTCCAAGCTGGCGTCATTAGCATATTACTTCTGCTCACCCAATCCCACACAGCACCTTCCTTCTCACTCCCACCTCCACATCTCCCTGAACACCCCTGCCTTTGTCGTTTAGTCACTGGAGTTAGGTTTTACGTCGTGCTCCTGAAATGCACATATTTGGAATGAAAATGTGGTTGGCTTGTTTTTTATAGACAAGTAGCTTTGGGCTCTGTGGTCCTTCCCTGTTACTCCATTCCTCATTATCCTCCTCATCCATCAGGGACACTGAGTGACAAGCTCTCTGGGTACTTCTCAGGGTGCTGCCCAGCACTGTTCCTTCTGTACTGAGACAGCAAATCGTTGGCCAAGGCTGTGGATTGTTTCTCACAGCAATTAACAGTTGCCCTGGTGTTAATTTCCAATCAATAGCCTGCCATGCTTGGCTCCAAGCTGTCGGCTGGAGGCCTCTACAGCACATTTTGAAAGTAACATGCCAAGAGTAGGACTTTGGCTGTGGTTCCTCCAAAAGCCCTCACCAAAGATTTTAGGAACACCAAATGCCCTCTCACCACTACCAGGGGTCCAGAGACTGAGGGCTCAGGCAGGTGGCTCTAGACATCTCTTTGAGTCTGATGACAGATTGGGGACACAGGTGGAACTGCCTCTCCTCAAGAGTGGTGGCCCTTTGAATATTCATGAAGATCTCATTTTCCTATTTTGGCTTTTTTGAATCGTTTTGCTGTTTGAGGTGGCTGTATTTTTTTCTTCCATTTAAACCCTTTCATTTAAATCAATCTCTCTCTCTCTCTCTCTCTCTCTCTCTCTCTCTCTCTCTCTCTCTCT